GTTATCTGTACAAAATTGACAGATACGGTTACTATCTGAAGCATTTTATGATATCTGGATTACGGTTAACCGTACGGATATCCAGATAAGGGGCTCACGGGTCCAAGCACTAGTACAGGTGCTATTCTAAAAATACTAAGTTTATATATTTTTTATAATAATATTATAATCTATCACGAATTACTTGTACATTTTTACTAATAATTTTTGTAAATATAAAATAAGATACATATTTTAATAAAAATTGGGTCTTATAACTAAAAAAAGAAAATTGCATGTTTCAAAATAAAAAGATTATATAGGTTAAATTAATAAGTTATTAGAAACAATCTTGTTTACTAAATTATCAGATTAGAATAATTGAATTTAAAATATATTATTAATTTAGTAAATATATTGTTTTTTAATTAGTAAAATACTTATCAAAATAGCAATAAAGTTTAGACATATTTAAATATATAATAACTATATTTTTAAAACAAACATTATAACTAATCTATTATAACTACTCTACCTGTGATAGATTTAAATTGTTTATTTATCATTATAATTGTTTAAATATAGTTATTATATATTAAAAATAATTATTTACTAAATTATAAGATAGTATTATAGAATTTAAAATATATTATTGATTTGGTAGACATATTATTTTTAATTAATAAAGTATTTATTCAAAATAGTAAAAATTATTTAAATATTATAGTAAATATATTTTTTAAAACTTCATTAAGTATCTATGTGATTCAAAAACCAGAAATTAACTCTTATAATAGCTAAAAAGTTTTTCTCTATATTAATATGCAATCTATTGTATTGTTCTGGATATGTTTTAAATTGCAAATCACAAAATTAATTAATTATACTTTTGAATTCATCAATTTTTTACATGAAGTGTATATTTATTTTTCTGAATAATTATTTTGTTTTTGACGTTGTGAGAATGCATGGTAACTATATTTTCAAAGTAGTAGTGGTACTAAACTAAATTAATACTATGTTAATACTCAACTCTAATAAAAATAAGACTTTCTTGAATAAGGCGTATGTTATGAAATTTACTAATAAATCTTGCTATGAAGATTATATGATCTATTATTTACTAATAATATAGCATTCTATTTTTATATTACTATACTAATTATTTTCAAATTATATTTCTCTTGTATTGGAATTCCAATAAATAACAATCATAAAACAAGTTCATAATGTTACATAGTACTGTAGTAAAGGGCTATGATTTATTGTAGGGGATCATGGTGAAAATTAGATCATAGTGAAATTCTGGCCTGAATTATAAAAAATTTCTGGGCCAGTTGGCCCGAATTATGATTGACTTTATATGAAGATTAAGGGGGTTTTTTCAAAATTGGGCCTAATTTCATAATGTATATAGATAATTTTTTTTTAGGGTTAGGGTTAGGGTTTCTGTTAGGGTTAGAAAAAGAGTGTATAGTTTTTAAATTCAATACTTTTTATATAAGTCATGTGATATATTCACCATGATCTGCTTTTCACCATGATCTCCAACATTTATTAATAATATATAGTAAAATTATGTTGAACCTTTATTAAATTGCAGATAATTGTTCAAATAATGAATAAAAATATAATGAAAAAAAGTGAAAAATATGAAAAAAGTGAAAAATATGAGAAAAATAAAATATGAAAAAAATTACGGAAACAGGCAAAAAAAAAAAAAAAAAAAAAAAGTCCAAATTTACTTTTTTTAAACTTTGAGCAAGAATATCTCTGCAAAATTAAATCAAATTCAATAAACTTTTTTTTATTTGAATTCTATGAATTCATAGAATTCAAATAAAAAAAGTTTATTGAATTTGATTTAGTTTTCACAGAGATATTTTTGCTCAAAGTTTAGAAAAATTTCAAATTTCTAATTAGCACGTTTTTTTGTTTAAATATTGTTGTTGTTATTAAGGTTCCAAATTTAACTTTGACACATCATGGAGTTATCTAAAACCTGACACTTTATAAAATTACCTGATATATAACCTGAATCAGTCTGATCAAAACAAAGTAAGATAGCAAAGCAAAAACATGAAATAGATAAATAATAGCTATCTAAACTGGTCTTGGTTGACTAAGTAAAAGTGTTCAAAATGTGATTTTACTATATAAAAAACTTCTTTTTATTCCAACTCTAATCCTACCTCTAATATTAATTAAAAATTAAAAAAAATTGGAAAAATTAGATAATTTTGTAAGGTGCCAGGCTTTAGATATTCTTCTAATATAGTAATAAATTCAATTGATGTTTTTGTGTTTTAGTTTTTTAGTGTTCTAGTGTTTTTAGTGTTCTAGTAAAAAATAAATTATTTTCTAATATAGTAATAAATTTAATCAGTGTTTTTTGTATTGATGTTTTAAGAAATAATTTATTTTCTACTAAAATACTAAAATACTAGAACACTAAAACACTAAAATACTAAAACACTAAAATACTAAAACATGGATTGAATTTATTACTATATTGAGAAATGATTTACTTTCCACTAAAACACTAAAACTAATATACTAAAGTACTAAAATACTAAAATACTAAAATACTAAAACACTAAAACACTAAAACACTAAAACACTAAAACAGCACTAAAACACTAAACCACTAAAACACTAAAACACTAAAACACTAAACCACTAAAACACTAAAACACTAAAACACTAAAACACTAAAACACTAAAACACTAGAACAACACTAGAACACTAAAACACTAAAACACAAAATCACTAAATTTCCTAATATAGTAATCGATTTGTGTTTTAGTGTTTTAGTGTTCTAGTGTTTTAATGTTTTAGAGTTCTAGTGTTTTAAAACTAAAACGATTAGTCTTTAATAGTTTTATTATAATTTTATTAAAGTTAAACAACTCAATATAATGAAGTAAAGAATTGAGTTTCAGAAACATAATCAGTTAAGGTAACTTTTTTGATACGTTACAATAAAAATTTTATGAAGATAACAAGTATTAGAACATCAGAACATCAGAACATCAGAACACTACATCGCTAAAACACTAAATCGCAAAACCTGTCACTTTGTGTACCTATGGTACACCGTAGTTAAACATTGCAAAAAGGGCCTTGGATTCAAAAAGTACAACACTGCCTATAGTTAATTTTAATTAAATGCTCCCTCATGCAGTTTCTTTGTGTCTTGCCTGAGTAGTGTTGCTGGTGAAGGTGGTGCAACATGGTGCACTATTAACACAAATACTATAAAAATTTAATAGTGCACCACTATTAAAATTATATCTGCACCAACAACCCTAGTCACAAGGTTTAACATTATTAAAGTCGTAATAAATCCTGGGAATAACTAATAAGGAGTCTTACGTTTGAGATTTATCAAGAGTTCATACACTTATAGATTTTTTCGATAGCGAAAATTATTAAAATTAAGTTTCTTTATAAATTTATTATAAATTTAATCTTACACAAGTAATAGCAATTGATAAAATTTAAATTCTATTTTAAATTTAAGACCTAAGAATTGGGCTCCCGTCGCAGTTTTTCTAGTTATTACAAAACTAGTCCAATCAATCTTTGAACGTGGAGGTTTTAATTTAGTCTTTTCAGAAATGATTTATTTCAACAAATAATATATTAAATTTAATATAATTCATATTTTAAATAATTTAACCGATTTTACTATTAATGAAACTAAATTTGATATCAAATAGTGAATTTTTGCTTAATATCAAAAAAAAAACAAAAAGTTAAAAAAATAAAAAATTTTAAAAACAAAAAGAAAAAAATTTTCATATACAAATACATTGTTGAATCTACTCAATGTAATTAATATAGAATTTTATTTTTGCAATAATATTTATTTTTATACCAACATTAGAATAATATTAGATTCTATGGTAATAGCATTTATTCGTACACATCATTCTAACATGGCTTTCCAAAAATTTAAAATAAAATGTCGGTAAAACTCATTTCGAATTTTTTTTTTTTTTTTTTACTAATGTCTCAATATGACCAGAGTGACGTTATTATAAGCTCTTTTATATCTGATATATTCTATTTAAATTCCTTTTATATTTAATACGTATTCCAGTTTACGTGTGCAAATGTACATGAACTAATGTAGCAATGTTTTTTTTATGAGCAGTCTATCTGATAACATATATTGCTTATTGATTTCGTTTAGAATGATCTAATCACGCATATACTAACAAAAAAAGGTTACTATCGGAGCTGGGTTCCGATCAATTCACCGACAATCATTTCACCGAACGCTCATTTAGCCGACATCACATAGGGTTAGGGTTAAGCATTTGATTAGTTGCAGGTATATATTTTTACTAAATTTCACTGGCGTGATGTCGGCTAAATGAGCTGTCGGTGAAGTGATTGTCGGTAAAATAATACGGACCCATCGGAGCTAAATTTGTGATATATGGTCTTGCATTCCAGCTACTTTATGTGTTCTCCATTGTAGCTAAATTTGCACATGTATTCGTTTTACACTCCGACTGTTGATTGAAATGTATAGTGATATATGTTCATAAATGAGCAAAAATTTTTGGCATTAATTAATAGTCATATCATGAAAATTCATGGGGAGTTATGGATAATAACCTGAGACATGTTTATAAACTGAAACGAAATTTGCACTACGGTAATATTGTGATAAAATTATACAACAGAAAGTATGAAATAAAATGATATCGATTATATTTATGAGTTTTGGGATATGCTTTCACCCGATAGTATTTTTTTGCTAAATTCAAGAAATTCAAGAAGAGCTTGTTTATCAAACGACAGAACTAATATTTTTTATTTTTTATTATTGTGTTAAATTACTTTGGAATATTTTTTGCTCACGAATTTCATTATGGCTACAAAAACTTACATGATAATACTACATAATCGTTAAGCCAATAAATATATACGAACTATTACCCGAACTTAGTAACTCGTTTATCAAAATAGTTTATATGCTCTTCAAATTTGACCAAAAGTCAACGCGCTAACGCCATTGTTTTTCAGAAGATATAGCAGTAGTCTGAGAATTAATGCTATATTGGAATCCTATCAAAATCCGGTAACAATATAGTAGCAATCATCAATGCTTTTGAAAATAATAAAAACTCATAAAACTTCGTTCTAGTCTATTTTCAAAGTTTAAATAGTTTTTAATTTAAAATCGTCAAGTATAATAATTGCGACCAGAAGGTTTGTTACTAAAAAAAAAAAAAAAAAAAAAACCTCATCGTAATTAATCATTAGAATAACACATCGTTTTAACATAACTTTTCGTTTTAATAACATAAAAACTAATGAAACTATACCTCATCCATACGATTCTCCGATGCTAATTTAAGTCAAACATATAATTTAGATTATTTTATAAAAATGAATCAAACAAAAAATTTAGTAAATCTAAATTTTAACCTCTTAATAGCCTAATTGCCTTTTCATGCTCATTTTCAGCTGCTAATTTTAAATATTCTAACCCAAGCTCCATATTTTTTTCCATATTAAGTTTTCCATTTAAATAAATATCACCCAAATGATATATTGCATCATAATTCTTATTATTAGCTGCTAATTTGAAGTAATGTAAAATTTCTCCACAAAGTTCATTCTTTCTGGTAATATTTTGCTCGCTTCTTAAATTATTAAGTAATAACACAGCATATCGAAATTGAGCATCTGGATGATCGTTATCAGCAGCATCTTTAAAAAGTTCTATAGCACGCCTCTCATCTTTTTCAACAACACCATACCCATGCCACAAATAATAACCTTGCCAATATTTTGCAGTGTTATCTCCAAGATCTGAATTTTCTTTAAAGCATCTCCACGCATTTGCGTGATCTCTCTTTCTATGTAGATCGATTCCTTTGTGAAGAGGAATAAATGATGATCCACTCTCAATAAATGATGGTCCACTCTCAGATTCTGGAGATGCTAAACTTCCATCAAAGTTTAATGTTTTATCGCCTAAAAGTATTGGAGCACCAGGAGGAATTGGATAGGTTGCTGCTAATTGTTCAAGCACTATTTGCAATTCCGCGACACCTATTCGTTCGCATGGCATATGCTTCCATGCTGTTTGTTAATTAAGCAACAAATGATTAAAATTAGTATAAGAAATCTCAAATAAATTTAAACTTATTACTTTAAAATAAATTTAATAGAACTTACTTCTTTCAATAATTTTAATAAATTCTTCTTGAAGTTTTTTATCATTTGAATCATAGAATTCTCCAGTTAAAAGCTTTTCTCTTTTACGATTTAAAACATGATCTGATATTTTTTGAATATCCCAATTTTCGTATGGCAATTTTTCATAACAAAGTTCCCAAATAAGCATTCCAAAGCTGATAATGAAGAATAATGGATAGCATAAATTACAATTCTAAAAGATTATTGAGATTAAAATAATAAATACCTGAACATTTCACAGTTAAAAGTATATTTTTGTTCATTATATTTTTGATCCTTATATTTCTTAATCAATTCAGGTGCCATCCAACGAATAATATCAGGAACTAAGTTAATAAGATTCCTGGTCTTCGCATCAATTTTACGGGAATATTTAAAATTTCCAATTTTTGGATCCAAGTTTTGTAGCACCTATAATTAAATAAGTTTGTAATTCATTAACTCATTTGCTTTTGTATGTTAAAATATCATTTATTTTTTATTATACATACAAAAATGTTCTCGCATCTCATATCGTGATGTAAAATATTTACAGACCGTAAAGATATAAGACCGCGGCAAATGTCTCGAATAATTTGTATTTTTCTAGTCCAAGGAATATCAAAAATATTATAAAGCTCTTTTAAAGTTCCATGTTCAGCCCAATCAAAGATCATAACTTCATAATTATTGACATTCGAAAGACCGTAAAATTTAAGAACGTATGGCGATTGACCTAATATTCTAAGGATTTCCAATTGAATTTTAAATTCATCATTTTGCTCATCTCTAATAGGTTTACATGCAACATCAACGCGCTTTTGATAGAATTTCCTAATAATAGGATAAGATTCTGAACCACGAAACCTTTGACCAATAGGATGATCATATAACTGATCTGGGTCGATTCTTTGCGTATGAATATTATCTGACTGACGGATCCTTAAAATGTTTAAGCCCTGGACTATGGAATCGAGTTTGTTATGAACATCCTTTTCAATACAATCAAGCTCTGCGAGAGTCTTTAGGGAATTATCAACTTTTTCAGCTTCTAATATTCTTTGGCTTTCACTAGCAATAGCCATAGTAAAATTTAGGTCTTTCATACATTTATCATATTCATCAGTTAATCTATCAAATTTTTTCTTAATTTCCATTGCGTTAAAAAATCTTCTATAACTTTCAAGCTTTGACACCTTAATAGTAAATTCTTTAACATTTTTTAAAACAATTTCAAATCTTTTAAAAGATAAATAATATTTTTGAAAATAGCTCTCATTCTGGTTAAAAGCTAATATTTGCGTCATAGCACATTCTGCAACTACTACTCTATTCAACATAATTAAACAAATATCTTTATTACATTCTGCATCTTCGTAAATTCGTTTAAATTCTTCTACTAAAATTTTCACCATATTAACAAATGGAACGTATGAAGCTATAATTTCTGCAGCAGTTAATATTGCATCAGTCGCAGCAGCAGGCGCAGCACCACTAAGGTCTGAGACGTCATCGTAATTGGTCGTAACTAAGTACTTTTCAGTGAGCTTTGAATTATAAAAGTGTTCTGGGTGCTTTTGCGAAATAAGTGGTGATGTTTTGTTATTGGCAGCCAATATTTCATTTTTAATAAATGGAACATATGGAGTGGCGTTTTCGGCAGCAGTTAAAACTGCACTAGTCGCAGCACCATTAAGGTCAGAGACGTCATCGTAATTAGTCGTGATTAAGTCCTCGTCAGGAATATTTAAGCTACATATCTGGTTACTGCAAACATTAATTGATAGTCTTTCAGTGATTTCTCGCGTGTTGATGAGCTTTGAAGTATGCATATGATCTGGGTGTCTTTCAGTGATTTCTCGCGTGTTGATGAGCTTTGAAGTATACATGTGATCTGGGTGCTTTTGCGAAATAAGTGATGGTTTGGTAATCTTATCAGCAGCCAAGAATTCATTTTTTATTTCACTATTGTCATTTGAGTTTTGTAACATATTATGCCATTCCTTGAACTTTTCATAAACCTCATGAGCATCAGGTCGATTCTTTGGATTTGGATCCATGCATTTTTTTGCCAATTCAACATAGCACTTAGGAGTCCCAAAAGCAATATTTGGCCGCAATCCACGGAAAATATTTATTGCAAGATCCGCACCAAATTCAATATCATCAAAAGGCGCCTGTCCAGTTGATATATCTGCCATGACAACACCCAAGCCATAAATGTCAGATGATTGTGTAACCTTTTTTCCGCTTAAAACTTCCGGATCAACGTAAGGCATGACACCAAAAATTCCGCCCTCTGATGTATTTTCATTTTCATTTTTAGATAATCCTAGGTCTGAAACATAAGTATTTTCTTTATTCTGAAGAATGTTACCGCTATGAAAGTCAGCATGAACATATCCTGCAGTGTGAATTCTGTATAAATCAAGTGAAATATCCATGAGTTGTTTTAATTTAAATTTCCATGTAAGTTCATGAAATTTTGTTCGCAAAAAATTGCGAAGATTTCCACCTTCTGCATATTGAAATACCATTAAGAATTTATTATTGCTTGCATCTCGAGTTAATCCATAAATTTGAAGTCCTCTACCAGCTAATATACATTTTATGCAATTTTTAAACTTGTAAATTGATTAATATGAATGAATTAGTTTCATAAAATATCATATAAATAAGTTATAAAATCGAGAACAGTTAACATACTTCATTTAAAAAGTCTATAGAGTTTCCTTCGACAGTTGGTAACGTCTTAAGTGCAACTTTATATGGTTTTTCACGTGCCCTTATGTAATTGTAATCTATGCCATCTATTTTTCGTAAACCATCTAACCAGATTGCTGAATATACCGAACCAAATCCACCTCTACCAATTTCTTTAACATCTGATAATCTATCAAATGGAATCCATTCAATCATGTATTCATAAGCAGTGGTTTTAAGTTGAATTTCCTTAATGCAATTATCAATCCTAACATTTCCACTTGTCCATTCTTGAATTGTAATGTCGGGGTCGCATGTCAGACACCATGCCTTATTAGTATTATATTCATTGCAATGTTTACATTTTCCATAAACAGCATCTCTTTATGTTCATTAATAAAATATTGATGGTTTTCATATAATTAGCTACTTCGTATAGTTTATGCGAATTTAAGACTTCAATGTAACAATTTTTATATTTACCGACTAAATTGGATTTTTAATAGTAAGTATATATCATAAATTCGCTGATTTAAAATATGTGAATTAATAAAATATTCTGTACTCACGCACTAAATTGACGCGAATGAGATATAAGATATTTTTATTTAATTTTTTTATTTTATTTTATTTTTTGTCAAACTAAAAATAGGTTAATACTTACGCACTAAATTAATATAATAAAGTTTAATGAATGTAAATGAAACCTTGTGTATTAATAACGTTTTTATATACTCACAGGCTAAAATGTATAGTTTAACGTAATATTTTAATTATCTTATAGTAACCATAGATGGTAAATGATTTGACTGTTTAATCAAATTTAGGTAACTCTGAGTCAAAAACGATTAAATAGCTAATATATAAAAAATCTACCAAATATTGCTATTCTTACGATATAGATAATTGTAGAAATACACGTTATTTCTCAGACTAACGCTTACTCAGCTTGTAGATTAGGCCTTATATTTCATTTTGACTTTAAATGAATGACTTAAACTATACCTTATATCATGCACATCTAGACTCTTCGCTTAATTTAGGCCAAGAATTATTTGGTGCACGCGTTAATCTGATACACAACGTATATTAAAGCCAAAAAATTACTAAATAAACGATTTTTTTACACACTACATTTATTAGTAGAGATTATAATTTTTTTTGCAGAAATATAAACTGAAATGAATTTTAATTAATCGATTAAAGTTTTCACAATATATTTATAAATTGCCATTGCCAAGACATTGTATCGATTTATTTAGTGAAATTTTGAGTTTTGTATTTAGTCTGTTGTCAAAAGAAATAGGGCAGATTGACACTTAAAAAACCATCGTAACTTTCATAGCTTAAAACTTGATAAATTTGGAAGCTATTTTGATGAATTAGCATTCAAAAGGAAGCTTATATCTTTAGCTTTCTTTTGAAAATGAAATTTTCAATATAGTTTCAAAATTCATTGAGATACGAGCTATAAAATTAAGGTTGATTTCTTTTTTAAAATGTCAATTTGCCTTATTTCTATTGATGGTAGTCCATATAGTTACAATTATAATTTATGTTCTGTAAAGATAATTTCTGTAATTATCAGTTTGACTAAAAGGATAATAATCAGACATTAAATACCCTTTTATAGATAGTATTTTTCAAATTTAAATATTTGAAGTTTAATTTGATAAAGTATTCAAACTTAAATTTGTAAAATTTCTTAATAAATCCCTGAGTTCTGAAACTTCTAAAACTTCAGTCATAAATACGTTAATATCCACTTTATCAAATTTAATACTCTTTTATTTGAATTTGCAGTTCTGTAGAATTCAAATAAAAAGATTTTAATAAGTAGTTGCCAAAATACCTTTTAATTGAAGTTTTAAAACTTTAAGACCTTAAAAATTTTACTAAAGAAGCTTACAAAATTTAAAATTTAAATATTTAAACAAGTCGAATATTTTCAAATATTGAAACTCAATATTTGATTTTAATTGGAGGAGCCTTATTCTTAGAATATTATGTTTTGAATTAGCAATGATTTTAACTCAGGCCATTTTCATTTACCATCATTAAAAGAACTGATTTTAGCATCCATCGTATGTTATGTGGATGGATAATAATCATAATACTCACAGACTAAATTGGCACAAATAAATATTGTTAGATTTAGTTAAAAATATGCGGTTCAATAAATGATTTCGAACTTACAAACTAATTTAAATAATAATGGATAAATATATATGATGCGCAAATTACTGATTTTAAGTTTAAAAAAATTTTCATTATACTCATATACTCACCGACTGAATTAATATTGAAAATATTGTTCAATTAGGTAAAAATGTAGACTAAATTTGTAGATCATTGCATAACTATTATTTAATACTTACTCGCTAACCCAGTAATTACATGATATGAATTAGATTGTGCATAATGATTACAGTACAGAGAAACATATTTATAAAAATCTTATCTGAATTTTTCTATAGGTAGTGTTGTGCACGAGAATGCTGAGACAAGGTCATGAAGAAAGGTATTGAGTGGAACAGGGTGGGATGAGATAATGTAGAAAACCCGAGAAAGTCATAAATGTACAACACTATCTATAGATACTCCAATTTTTAAGTATTGTATATAATTTTTATACTTACAAACTAACCAATATGAATAAGAACTTAATTAATTGCTAACTTTAATTCAGTATTTATCAATTTTTTTATCAATACTTACTCACTAAATTAGATATCGTATAGTTTATGTATATATAAAATATAAGCTTTTCATTTCACAAATGCATAATTAGCATATAATTTATATACTCACAGACTAAATTAGAATAATAAATGATTTAGTGAATTGTTTAATAGGAAACACTTAATAAATATTTTGATACTCACGTACTAATTTAACAAGAATAAAGCATATTTAATGAATAAATTTTAAAAACATGAGTTACAGATTATAATACTTACTCACTAAATTACATAGCATGAATACGAATATGAATTAAAAAGATTGCCAAATAATAATATTCATAATCGCATTGTTTTTTAAATAGAATGCAGTAATTAAAAAGTCTACTTACAGCTTAAGTAAATTTCTGGCTTTCTCTTTATCTTTTATTGTACCAACTCCAAAGAGGTAACAAATCAAAACTTTATGCATTCCTTTAGTGTTATTCATCCTAGCAGATTTTTGATAATATTCAAATGCTTTAAGTTTATTGATTTCAACACCAATTCCCAAATAATAACAATTGCCAACTTGAAACACTCCATCAGAATTATCCATAATTGCAGATTTTTGATAGTGAGCAAATGCTTTAAATTCATCTTTTTTAATTTTAATTCCATATTTGTAACGATACCCATGCCAAAATATTTCAAAAGAATCCTCTATATTGGAACAAATGTAGCAATTAAAATCTGATTTATTTGAGCTAACTAGCTTTGCTTGTGGGTTTTCTTGTTCCATTTTACTAGATATATTAGCAACTTCCAAAATTCCACTTTTGGCAGATTTTAAGTACCAGTTAAGTGCTTCCTTTTGATTTTTACCAACACCGACACCGTTCTTATAACATCTTCCGAGGTGAAATTGTCCCCAAGCATTCCGTCCTCTTGCAGACATTAAATAACAACAAATTGCCTTCTTTTCATCTTTGGGAGTACCCTTTCCATTTTCATAACACATTCCAAGTTTATCCTGTCCGTTAGAATTTCCGTTATTGGCTGATTCCAAGTAATACTTGAATGCTTTACTAATATCTTCCTTTACTCCAATACCATAATAATAATAATATCCAAGATAAAATTGTGCAATACCAAGTTCTTTTTTTCCTGCATTTTCTTTTACATTAAAGAATGCATTAAATGCCCTCTCACTATTCTTATTTGTTCCAATTCGACCATGGTAAAATCTTCCGAGTAGACATATTTGCTTTGAATTTGATTTGTTATTTAATAACCAAATAAAAACATTTCTCGGTGTTTCACCATTAATAGTAATATATCTTTCAATCTTTTTGTTAATATCTTCCTCATTAAAACCTTCATTATGTAATCTGGAAAAAATTAAAAACAATAAATCCGTAATCCTGGTCATCTTTTCATTTTCACCTGTTTTAACACTGCTGCAACTTTCATTAATGCTCTCTTGACTTGAATCTTTCTTCCAAGATTCTATATTTCAACACAAAATTTACATTTGTATAAATAAAATTGACGAAAATTATGCGGTAATTTTAAATTTATAACAACTTACCTTTACTAATAGCTACATATTCTTCTAAAAATAAATGTTAGTATCATTTAGAAATTTGGCATATTTATTACGTATCACACTTTAACGTACCATCTGTAGTATCATGATATCTTAAAGATTCAAAAGATTCCACTGTATTATCAACTTTTTCGAACCCAAAATCTATCAATTATCATATTAGATCAGATCATAAATTAGAACTTGATAAAACTATAGTTGTGCATACCGTTTGAATCCGTATCGAATAACTTTTCAATATTATCAAAATCGCACTCTACAATAAATAATTTATAAATGTTATTTAAATACGAATATTACAAGCTTGTGAATTATATGCCCAATTTCAAACAATACAAAATCTACTTAATCAATCAGTCAAATTTTTTATTCAAATTTAGAGTCATTCCATAATAGCTAAAGTAGCAAATAAATAAAATTGACAGTTTTAAAATTACCTGGCATTTCATCTAGAACTGCTAACATAAAATCATCAATATGTTCATTTATTAAGTACGTTGTAATATGAGTTTTTTTAATTAACAAGGTTATAATAATAGCTACTATTCACCTTTCGTAAAATTACTTGGCTCTGTAAGATTCTGAAAAGAGTGAATTTCAGATTTTAAAAAATTTCCTGGGCCTTCTCCGGAGGAAATAAATTCTGGAATTGGAATTTCAGCCCTTATAAAATTTCCAGGGCCTTCCCCGGATGAAATAACTTCTGGAACTTGAATCCCAGCTCTCATAAAATTTTCAGGGCCTTCTGCTGATGAAAAGTTTATTAAGCCATCAAATTTATCCGTAATTTCTATTTTTTTATCCATCATATTATCATTTGTGGTACGTTCAGTGAAACTTTGACACAATGAATATAGTTTTTTAAAAATTGTGCTGGCTTCTGGTCGTTTGCTTGGTATAGCATCCCAACATTGTTTAATTAAATCTGCATATTCAAGTGGAGTTCCATAAGCAATTTCTGGTCGAAGTCCAACAAGGATAGCATTTACAAGAAAAATATCATGTTTTTGACCATAAAAGGGTGGAATTCCGGTAGAAATTGACCACATAATAATGCCTAAGCTGTAAATATCAGCTTTTGCAGTGTAATGATTTGGTTTATTACATAGTACTTCAGGAGCAATATATGGAATACAGCCATAAACACTGTTTAAAGGCTTATCTTCCGGACCGCAAAAACCTAAATCACTTATTCTTATAATATTTTCGTGAAATAAAACATTGCCAGGATGTAAATCCCTGTGAACTGATTTTGTATTATGTATAGCGTTTAAACAATGTGATATTTTATAGGCAACTCGGCAACGTTCTTTCCACCCAATTCTGGAATTATTTTTTATCAAATATTCTTGTAAATTACAATCCATAACATCTAAAACTAATGAAAAATCCCTAGAATCTCTATCTTTAGTCAATCCATAGCATCTAACAATATTAGTTGCAATCTTATCAATGGTAAAATGTGTTATAATCTGAAATTTTTGATAAATAATTTAAATAATGAATTTTAAACAAGCTGCAATTAAAATACAATCACCTGATTGTTTTCCGACTGCGCAATTATTGCCAAATTTTGTGAAATTTGCAGATCAAAAAAAAATAATCACCCGATTTTTTTAGGTAATTTTTAGTGATTTCTGATTTGAGTGACGAAAGGGAGAACCTGTAAACTGACTCACTACTTTTCATCTTATCGGACTCTGCTCCTAAAAATCTAATCTATATAACGATTGGCTCTTAAAATCATTTTCTTTTAATGAATCCATTTTGATGCAAAGCAACAGTGTTATCGAAGCGACTAGATCGAGCAGTCGAATAAAATTATATGCAATCATTTGGCTCAAATCTGATATAGTGAAATGTAGTGAATCTATTTACAGGTTTTCCCTTTCCGTCACTCATTTTTTAAAACTACTCCAATATCTGGATCATATCGGAGCAGTTTAAGAAATCAGAAGTCACTAAAAATCGGTTAATTTTATTTCTTATTTTTTTTTTCGATGATCTGAATAATTTTTTGACTAAGAAATGCACTTTATAGTCACACAATCGGACGCAATCAGGTGATTAGTATAGGTGAGCGGCGATCTTTGATTGAAGGTGCGTCCTATCTACCTCATTAAGCCAATTGCTGGTCGATTTATTTGATTCTTTTAGCTTTTTGAGAATAACGCTATGGTCTCTCGTCCTTTCTAAGGCTTTTTTGTCATAATTCCACTTGTCAAAAGGACCATCTGTCCATATTGTCCTATATATTTCAGCGTAACTACCTTTCGCTATATATTTTGGATTTATTTTAAGTTTTTCATTAGGAATAAATTCAATTATTAAATTTGGCCCCATTGCACGTTTTTGAGCCTCTTTAATTGCACTGTCAATTTTATCGTTGCCAGTCCATTCTTGATTATGTTGCTGTAAGTAATTTCTAATACAAAATTCACAATATAGTAAAGCACGAGTTTCATTCTTGCAACCATTGCATTGACGCTTTTCACCGTCATTGTAGATGACGCTTAAGTTATCAAATCTTCTTTGAAGTATATTGAATAAATATTTTCTTTCAAATTCATTAAGGTTGTCATTATTATTGAATTGTGCTCTGAAAAATTTATATTTTTGTTGATTTGTTCTGTAAACACTTGAAGACATTGACCATGCAGTATCATAAAAATAATCTCTTAAAAGCATGTTTAATATATATTGCCTTTCATTATCATTAAGATTTTCATAATTGGTGAATTCTGTTTTAAGTAATGCGTATCTTTGTTGATTTGATCCGCAATTGTTTGTATCCATTGACTGTATAGTATCGTAAAAATAATCCTTCAATAACATATTCAATAAATACTGCCTTTCATTTATATTAAGCTTTTCGCTATTGGCAAATTGTTTTTTAAGAAATTCATATTTCTGGTGATTTGTTTTGTGAGTGTTAGTATCCAGTGATCGCATAGCGCTATAAAAATGCTCTTTTAGAAACTTCTCATTGATATCGCTTAATCTAATATAAGCAAATATAGAAATTTATTATCAACAAATTTTTTATGCAAATTAATAAATTAGTGATATAATTACCTTTCACTTTCATAAATATTTTCATTTTTAACAAGATCTTCATACTTTTGTTGATTTGTTTTGTGAGTTTTAGTATCCGGTGATCGTGCAATGCTATTTAAATGTTCTTTTGGAAACTTTTCTATGATATCGCTTAACCTAATATAAGTAAATATAGAAATTAATTTTCTACAGATTTTATGCAAAATAACAATTTATTGATATTATTACCCTTCATTTTCATTAAAATTTCCATCATCTATAAATTTCTGTTGATTTGCTTTGCAGGTGTTAGTATCCAGCAATTGCGCAGTGCTATGAGAATGTTCTTTTAGAAACTTTTCATTGATATCGCTTGATCTAATATAGGAAATATAGAAATTTATTATCTACAAAGTTTATGCCAAATAACAATTTATTGATATTTTTACCCTTCCGGCATTAAATTTAATTCCTTTATTTTTGTAAGAAAAAATTAATGCTATTGCCCTTGAAAAATAGAGATAAGTCATAACTAGTAAAAATTTGTACCTCAATATCCATAGAATTTTCTGGCTGTTCAAGGGCTTCTAGTTCAAATTAAATAGTTTTAAATAATATTTAACTGACAAAAAGAAGAATTAAATTTGAAAAATAATATAAACCCACCTAATTCCTTTAATAACTTATTTGCTTTTTTATGTTCATTTTCTGCTGCGAATTTTAAATATTCTAACCCAAGCTCCATGTTTTTTTCCCTATTAAGTTTTCCATTTAAATAAATATCACCCAAATGATATATTGCATCATAATTCTTATTATTAGCTGCTAATTTGAAGTAATGTAAAATTTCTCCACAAAGTTCATTCTTTCTGGTAATATTTTGCTCGCTTCTTAAATTATTAAGTAATAACACAGCATATCGAAATTGAGCATCTGGATGATCGTTATCAGCAGCATCTTTAAAAAGTTCTATAGCACGCCTCTCATCTTTTTCGACAACACCATACCCATGGCACAAATAATAACCTTGCCAATATTTTGCAGTGTTATCTCCAAGTTCTGCATTTTCTCTAAAGCATCTCCACGCATTTGCGTGATCTCTCTTTCTATGTAGATCGATTCCTCTGTCAAGAGGAATAAATGATGAACCACCCTCAGATTTTGGAGGTAATGAACTTTCATCAAAGTTTAATGATTTATCTTCTAAAAGCACTGGAGCACCAGAAGGTACCTTGTGGACTGGCTGATTTACAGCTAATTTTAATGATTTGTCGTTCAAAAGTACTGGAGCATCAGGAGACATTGGATAGTTTACAGCCAATTGCTCAAACACCCTTTGTAATTCCGTAACTTCTATTCTCTCGCGCGGGATATGCTTCCATGCTAATTATTTAATTTAATTAAGCAGAAAATTATTAAAGTTAATATAAAAAAGATTTCAAATTAATTTAATTTAAACTTATTCAAATAAATTTAAACTTACTGCTTTCAATAATTTTAATAAATTCATCTTGAATTTTTTTATCATTAGGATCATCGAATTCTCCAGTTAAAAGTTCTTCTCTTTTACGATTTAAAACATGATCTGATATTTTCGGAAAATCCCAACTTTCATAAGGTAGTTTTTCATAACAAAGCTCCCAAATAAGCATTCCAAAACTGATAATAAAGAGTAACAAATAGAGTAAATCGTAATTCTTAAAAAGATCATTGAAAAATTAAAATAATAAATACCTATACATTTCACAATTAAATTTATATATTTTTTCATTATATCTTTGATCTTTATATTTCTTAATCTGTTCAGGAGCCATCCATCGAATAATATCAGGAATTAAGTGAACAAGATTCCTGGTTTTTGCATCAATCTTACGGGAATATTTAAAATTTCCAATTTTTGGATCCAAGTTATGTAAAATCTATAATGATATAAATTTTTGTAACTCATTGACCCGTTGAACAGTTATATGTTAAAATATCATATTATCTTTATACATACAAAAATATTTTCGCATCTCATATCGTGGTGTAAAACACTTGCAGATCGTAAGGATACAAGACCACGACAAATATCTCGAACAATTTGTATTTTTCTAGTCCAAGGAATATCAAATTTATTGTAAAGCTCTTTTAAAGTTCCATGTTCAGCCCAATCAAAAACCATAACATCATAACTATCAATATTCGAAAGACCGTAGAACCTGAGAACATATGGTGATTGACCTAATATTCTAAGGATTTCCAATTGAATTTTAAACTCATCATTTTGCTCATCTCTAATGGGTTTACATGCAACATCTACATAATTTTGATAGAATTTCCTAAGAATAAGATAAGGTTCTGAACCACGAAAACTTTGCCTCATTTGACTCATAGGAAGATCAAATAAATGACTTGGGTCGACTCTTTGTGTATGAATATTATCTGGTTGTCGGATTCT